TAGACACGGTTCTACCACGTGGCGGTAACCAAAACGGGGAACACTTTCTTGGTGGCAGCCATGTTTCCGGAACTTATATAATCACGTTTACGCCACGTGGCGAAAACGTGGCTGCACGGTGGCCGACACTAAACGCTGAACTTTGCTTACTGCCCTTGTCTTTTGATTGATATTTGTAGCTCGGTCTCCGTCCTGCAAATTATGTCTCCCTTTCTCTTTGCTTATTCTCTAACTTGACATAATTAGTAAACTAATAAGTAGGTACATAGTGAATAATAATAATAAGGTGTTATAAAAATATTGATTCAGGAATTCTGATAGGCAAAAAGTTGAAACGATTGGAGGTTTACTGTAAAATATAGATGTTGTAGCTTGAAATATGGGCACGCGCCATTGGAATACTCTATATTTAATTAAAAAGTTAAAATCTATAAATTTTTCATTTTCCAAATTATTTATTTAGATACCTTAAGCTGTAATTTTTATCAATCTTGGTTAATTAAAATCATTAAATATATTTTAATTTTATTGCATTAAAGCTATACGGCCGAAAAAAAAATTTTTAAATATATTTTCTCATAATGGCGATCTTAAAAATAGTCACCAATATGTTTTCTTCAGGAAAAAAAAAAACTCTAAAGTTGCAGAAACTAAAAATGTACCACTTTGTAGTTACTTTCATCAAATAAGTGGCAGCTGGAACTAATCCAAAATATTTTTCACCACTTTAAAGTGGCGGTTACGTGGCAGCCACCTAGTGTTTGCTACCACAAAGTTAATTATTTACATTGTTGCCAGATCAGCCATTTCTCCACTTATTTTAGAGTTTTTGAATTGTTCAATAAGGCCAATGTCAGGGGGAAAAATCAAATTTACCTTAAATTACAAATATTTCATCCATCAACCTTATGTAAATTTATTGAAATTTTAATCTTGAATAACGTAAAATGGCTTAATCAAATATTAAGGTACAGTATATTTGGAATCGCCATAGTAAAAAATATATATAGGGTTCCCATTTTAATTCACAAAGTTGATACTTGTTAGTTACCTTTCTGGTTACCGTTTGTTTATCTTAATAGTAATTTCTAGTAAAGCCTTATAACTTATGTATTTAACAATTTATTTTTATCTATTTTAATAAACGATTTAAGTGCCGTTTTAAAAATAACTGAACAGGGTGTACAAATAAAGTGTACATTCAAGAAGATTATGGAAAAAATTTGTATACTATATCTTCTCAGGGAAATTGTGCTCTGATGATATCGCAACACTGTATTAGTTGTATTATTCCATATAACCTCAAAATTTACAATTGAATTCACCTGATAAATTTGTTTCAGATCACTTAAATTTATGTATTTAATGTTTTATATTGTATTTGTATAAACACCTTAGATTTAGATATAAGTTTTAAAATTGTATCGACTCAAGAAAAAAGGGATGTTTGTTTCTGCGTTATTCCCGACATATGGTAAAACGAAGGAACCTTATTTTGGCCAGGCCATTTAAATTTTTCACAACGAGAAACGTTGTTGTTTCCCATTTAACACACAAATGTACTCTAGATAAGTATAAAAACAAAGTAATTTGCGCACAGATCGACGACACTTTGGTAGTTTTTTTTATTGTAAAGGCGGGCGATGTAGAAAGCAGGCCACTAATAGGCAACGGTTACTTCAATGTGAATTTTAATGGTAATAGTAACTTTAAAGTGGCTTTTGTTCCACGCAGTATGTGGAAATCACTTAAGAGCGTGGCAAAAACGTGGCAAGAACTACTGCAGTTATACAATTAAGTGCCGCCACTTTAAAGATATATTTATGGTTCCCAAAACGTTACTTAAATTATCAAACCCACTTTAAGATTACTGCCACTTCTAGGTGGTATTTAACTGATATGATTTGGTGGCCATAACTACTATTTTTCACATTAAAGTTTGTATAACTTTAAAGTGGTCCCGCTTGGTGGCTATAACGTTTCAAACACTTTCAGAGGCAACTAAATAATATAAAACTTTTAAGTGATTCCCAGTGGTAAAATACACGTGGCTACAACTGGGAAAATATAAAATGAACTTATTCTCACTATACAGGGTGTATCAACGATGCGTGGGTGAACGATAGCTGCTTCCCTTTATGAGATAGGAAAAAATGCTTTAAATAAGAGTCGTAGAGGGCATTGAAAGCTACGTTCCAAAAATAACTACCAATATACAGGGTGTCCGATAAATGTATGAGTTATCGAAGTAATGTTTTTTTAAAGGAAACACCCAATATATTTTTACTCGATTAAATTTCTTTGGAAGAGTGTTTCTCAAAAATATAGGGTTGTATGGGTTTATACTAGGTGGTTGGGAATTTATAGTGGGTTTTAGGTAACAAAATGGGTTTATTTAACATCAAATATCTCTAAATCAATAATTTGGAATACATTTTTTTTTCTGCCGAATATTCTCGAAAATAGTGTATTTTCATTTCCTATTCATAATTTTACCGAATGGCGCTTTTCCCATACAGGGGCAACCAAAACTCGGGACCACTTTTTTCTCAGTTTTTTCAAATGGAACACCCTGTAAATGAGGCCATACCAGGATAGCCCATACCATGAGCTTTCAGAAAATGTAATGTTTGCCTACTTGATTTTTATCGGAAATGTATCTAATTTTTAAGGAAAGTATAAAAAAGTTATAAAAGCAATAACTATTTATTTATTTCATTCGAAAAAGCATAAATTCACATCAAATGTTCGAATAATCTCCCATTTTGAGCTATGCACAAATTAGGTCTATCTACATTTGCTCTTCTAACTTCAATTAAAGTTGATTTTGTAATAGAGTGAAAAACTTCTCTAATTCTATTCTTCATGTCTTCTGGTGTCGTTGGTTTTTCGCGGTAGACCTCTCCTTTAACATATCCCCAGAGATAGAAATCTAGAGGCGTGAGGTCTGGAGACCTTGCTGGCCACTGAATGGGTCCGTTTCTTCATATCCATTTATTACTGCGCCATCTGTTTAAAAACCATCTTACCTGATTTTGATTGTGGGGAGGCGCGCCATCATGTTGGTAATATAACCTGAGTCTAGTCAATGATTAATTCGGGCATAGCTTAAAATGTGAGATTGTTTAAACATTTGCTGTGAATATACGCTTTTTTAAATAATTGTTCGTTTATAATAAATAAATAGTTATTGTTTTTATAAGTTTTTTATTCTTTCCTTAAGAATTAGATACATTTCCGATAAAAATCAAGTAGGCAAACCCTACATTTTCTGAAAGCTCATGGTATGGTCTATCCTGGTATGGCCTCATTTACAGGGTGTTCCATTTGAAAAAACTGAGAAAAAAGTGGTCCCGAGTTTTGGTTGCCCCTGTATGGGAAAAGCGCCATTCGGTAAAATTATGAATAGGAAATGAGATTATTCGGCAGAAAAAAAAATTTATTCCAAATTATTGATTTAGAGATATTTGATGTTGAATAAACCCATTTTGTTACCTAAATCCCACCATAAATTCCTAACTACCCAGTATAAACCCATACAACCCTATATTTTTGAGAAACACTTTTCCAAAGAAATTTAATCGAGTAAAAATATATAGGGTGTTTCCTTTAAAAAAACATTACTTCTATAACTCATACATTTATCGGACACCCTGTATATTGGTAGTTATTTTTGGAACGTAGCTTTCAATGCCCTCTACAACTTTTATTTGAAGCATTTTTCCTATCTCATATAGGAAAGCAGCTATCGTTCACCCACGCATCGTTGATACACCCTGTATAGGGGAACATTTAGTGATTATAACGTAATAGTCACTTAATCCAAGTGGCGGTATAAGTTTCTGTCACTATAATGCCACTTGGGATATATTCGGCCTTTCTTATAATTTTATTTCCATTATATATTTGGAAAGTTAAGGTTGAAGAAGAACATCTATTTTTTAAAAATTACCTAAATTTAATGTTTCTACTATTTGTGAGAGCATGACGCACCATGATTTTATTTTTTTTTTAAAACAGTACCTAATTAAAAAATAGAAGATCATTTAAATGTTTGAACAATATACTCCGCAATTATTAAATTTAATGTTTGGGAGGCTTTGGAATTTTTGACGTTTAGAATTTTTTACGTGTTTGACGCACGTAATAAACACCAACTTATTTTGTTGGCTTTGGAAATTTTGACGTAATTGTTTTTATTCGTTATTGAAAATGGGTCGCGGTAAAGCAACTCCAAATAAAATTATGAATTTGATCATTAACAAATATAAACATAAACATAAGTTTCCTAATAAATATCTGAAATAAAAATATGAAAAGGCCGAACATATAGTGGTTAGGGCTTGTATAACATCTCGACAACGTTTTGGTATCCATTTGTAATAACCTAATACTTTTTACTTTGATAAAAAATAAGGAATGACAATTTTTACAATTTTACATATATTTATGAGTTCGGCCAATGCTAACGCAGCAGGTCGAAGACCGGCTTGCAAGCTTGCATTTAGAGTTCACATAACTAGCAAAGTCGGCATAACCCTTTTATAACTTTTTGTGTTAATTGGGTCTACTTTTATTTGTAGAAAAAACTATAGAGATTACTGAAATGTTTATCTTGTTGATTTTTTTAATTAACATTTTTAATGATGACGTTGCTCACTGAAAAACCTTTATACAGGGTATAAATACGGTTCTTTGAATTCACTAGCAGAATAGTACGATGAGTATAAGTACAATACAGGGTACCTAACTTAAAGTTGATACTTCTTTTTTAACTGTCGAAGTCATTAAAATAAACATGTTTTTGAAAAGAACTCAAGAGTAAGGAAATTAAAATAATAAACCAAAACAAAAATTCTCAAGGATTTTAGTCTAGTTTTTTTTAAGAGTATATTTTAAAGACTCTATATACAGCTAAAACAACTTTTAAATAATAAATGCTGTTGAAAATAGATTATTTAGGGGAAATATTTTAAAACACAGATGCCTGTATTTTATTTTAAAACTCATTTTAATGTTGGTTATAAAACTATTTAAATCAAAATATAATTGTTATGGTTTCGTTTCTTTTATTAGTTAATTACTTTTTGATGTTTAACTACAATTTTTTTGATCGGTTTTTGTTAAAAATTGTGTTTTAATTTGATATTTCTTAAGTATGTTGTACGCTTTTTCTATTAAGCTATCAGGTGGATTTTGTTCTCTCGTTAGAATCCAAGCAGTGCCTGAAATAAAAACAGAAAGTAAATTTCAAAGAGTTTTTATACCTTTTTATTTTATATCTCTAAATTATATTATTTTCTATCCATTTTAATTATTATTTTTCTACCCCATAAAAGTAATTAATCTGAAATATCTGCAAATAAATAGGTATAAGTTACTGTTTGCGTTCATCTGGACCATACGTAGCTGTCCAAAATTATCAAATTTGAGGTCTTAGGAGAGTATTTTGCAAGCTATTTGATGGTCTAAGCAGTTTCTGTAAAAACCGCTCTTGTGTCGATTTATAGCGCTCCAAATTATAGTCGATTTAGACAAAACTAACATATGTGTAGGTTGTTTCTATTAAATAAAGTATTTATCCAATACATACAATATTTTTGCCGGAATTAAAACGTTATAATGCACATCGCGTATTCCGATCTTCATTAATTTCGTTGATGCGTTGTTGTTAACACATCGTCAATATACAAAATAAATATAGTTAACAATAATGATACGGGGCAAACCAAGTGGCCTAAAAGGAAAACAATACAGAGTTGTATAAATACAGAATGCTAAAGTAAATTATAGAAACATAGTTAGCACGTGCAACTGGTATGTTTCTTGTAAAAATAACACATGTCTAACACCCTCTAATTTTGGCAAAAACAACACAGATCGTATTGTTTTATTTTTTCTTCAGAATATGCCAGACAATAACCAGTGGTAAAAACCATTAGGCTCAAAAAGTGTATCGACATACTAATTTGGCTAGTAAGTTAAACATGCATCAAGGTAAACTATTGTTGTCTATTCTCTCAAAACTAAGTTTTTGGATTTATGCTGTTTTTTAAATCGACTTGTAATCTAATAGCTTGTGATACATAGTGACTCTATATTGTGGTAATTAAGTTTGTGTTTTAAAACTTTACCATTTTGTCTTTATTTATATGGATTTAAAGTAGGCCTTGCATCGATATCTCGATGATATTATAGTGAAAAGTCGGTCGCATAAATCAAAACAATAGAATATTGTGTTTATGCTTATCGGTCTTTAGATGACACCCTAGTTGTTACAAACTTAATTAACACAATATAGACTTACTATGTATTACAAGCTATTAGATTGCAAGTACGGTGTTGATTTCAAAAACAGCATAATAATAAGAAAATAGTTTTGAGAAAATAGAAAGCATCAGTTGTAATGAACTAAAAATTCATTCCTATTTTTACTTAACTGGATCAACCCTTGTTCTTATGGTTCCCCGATTTTTAAATTAATATTTTTCGAAATTTCCCGCAATTTGCAAATAATTATCGATTTTATGTTAAATCTCATGTTGCTGTAAACCTATCGCGTCCCCACTACCGTCCTTGCGCATTTGAAATCGACGCGAAAACCACAGGAAGGTGAGCCGATAGAATATTGCGGAGAGGTATTAAATTTTAGCTGTTGGCCGCGAATAGTTGGTTTCAATTCCGATATAATTTTAAAATTACTTTTGCTTTCCATTGTATACTTTTTCGATAGGTAGTTAGATTATTTCTGTAAATTTATTTATACGTGTGTCCCAAAAAACCGAATGAAACCAGCAGGAAGCCATTAAATTCCCGATTTGTTTATATTTTCTTTTTATTCAATTTTTTTTATTTGCAACCTTTTCAGTATTTTGAAAGCAAATCCGAATTTTGTCTGTTAATTTTACAATAACGTTGAAAGCCGTATAAAATAATTTAGTTCATTTCAATTAAATATTAGTTTGGTTTATTTTTATTTATTTGTTTTAAGAAATAGTAATATTGAGAAAACCGTTAAATTAAAACTTGTAAATGATATTTTCTATATGTAAAATTTCAAAGTTATCTGTAAAAGATTGATTTTCAGCTAAAATATGATTTGAGTAAGTAGATTTTTTTGTTTTTTGTATAGCTATTATAATGTTCGGAATAGCGCTTTTTGAAAGTACGGCCTGTTTGACCAATATACAGTTTTGGACAACTACTACAATTTAATTTATATACCATAGATTTATTATTAGGATTAATTTTACCCTTATTGTTTTTAATATACTTCCTAAGCGTATTATTGGTTTTAAAAGCTACGTTAATATTTTGGTTTTTTAAATATGATGATACCTTTTCACTAGGAGCTCCTATATATGTAAGACCCTTATATTTGCAATTTTGATCTGTAATTATGGGATAAACTTGTTAAATAGCATGTTTAAAAAGTAAACATTTTAATTCAAAGTTAGTAGACAACATTTTAGAGAAAAAACTTTTTAAGCATGCTACTCAACAAGTTTATCCCATAATTAAAGATCAAAATTGCAGATATAAGAGTCTCACATATATATATATATATATATATATATATATATATATATATATATATATATATATATATATATATATATATATATATATATATATATATATATATATATACATATATATATATATAAGAGAAGGTTTAGTGCGGTGAAAAAATGTAAAAGATAAAAGGATTATTGGGCAAATACCGCAAATAATAAAAAAAAATGTCTAAAGGCAAACCGTAGACACGTGTTTCTGACTATTGGTCTTCATCAGTACGGTGCAGCCAAGTTCAAAAGAGAATGGAACTAGCGATGAAATCAAATCAATAGGAGATCACTCAAGAAGCCAACCACACATTTGTGGACTGTGCTAACATTCCTAGTGATTACTAGGAAAATATTAGCGTCGCCACGGAGGTAAGTTATAGCCGCTATGAAGATGCATCCAAGCCCAGGGAAACTAAACAAGAGAAGGTTTAGTGCGGTGAAAAAATGTAAAAGATAAAAGGATTATTTGGCAAATACCGCAAATAATAAAAAAAAATGTCTAAAGGCAAACCGTAGACACGTGTTTCTGACTATTGGTCTTCATCAGTACGGTGCAGCCAAGTTCAAAAGAGAATGGAACTAGCGATGAAATCAAATCAATAGGAGATCACTCAAGAAGCCAACCACACATTTGTGGACTGTGCTAACATTCCTAGTGATTACTAGGAAAATATTAGCGTCGCCACGGAGGTAAGTTATAGCCGCTATGAAGATGCATCCAAGCCCAGGGAAACTAATATTTTCCTAATAATCACTAGGAATGTTAGCACAGTCCACAAATGTGTGGTTGGCTTCTTGAGTGATCTCCTATTGATTTGATTTCATCGCTAGTTCCATTCTCTTTTGAACTTGGCTGCACCGTACTGATGAAGACCAATAGTCAGAAACACGTGTCTACGGTTTGCCTTTAGACATTTTTTTTTTTATTATTTGCGGTATTTGCCCAATAATCCTTTTATCTTTTACATTTTTTCACCGCACTAAACCTTCTCTTGTTTAGTTTCCCTGGGCTTGGATGCATCTTCATAGCGGCTATAACTTACCTCCGTGGCGACGCTAATATTTTCCTAGTAATCACTAGGAATGTTAGCACAGTCCACAAATGTGTGGTTGGCTTCTTGAGTGATCTCCTATTGATTTGATTTCATCGCTAGTTCCATTCTCTTTTGAACTTGGCTGCACCGTACTGATGAAGACCAATAGTCAGAAACACGTGTCTACGGTTTGCCTTTAGACATTTTTTTTTTATTATTTGCGGTATTTGCCCAATAATCCTTTTATCTTATATATATATATATATATATATATATATATATATATATATATATATATATATATATATATATATATATATATATATATATATATATATATATTATCGTAGCTTTTAAAACCAATAATACGCTAGGGAAGTATATTAAAAACAATAAGGGTAAAATTAATCCTAATAATAAATCGGGGGTATATAAATTAAATTATGGTAGTTGTCCAAAACTGTATATTGGTCAAACAGGCCGTACTTTCAAAAAGCGCTATTTCGAACATTATAATAGCTATACAAAAAACAAAAATAATTCTACTTACTCAAATCATGTTTTAGCTGAAAATCATTCTTTTACAGACAACTTTGAAATTTTACATATAGAAAATAAGGGCAATAAACTAAACCATTTAGAAACACTTTAAAAATTCAGATAACCTACTCAATGATCAATTAGATATTAATAACTCACCCTTATTAAATCTCTTTTCTAGTTTTCTGTGAGATAATCCCGGTAATGTTACTATCTTATTGTTATCTGATTGATATCATAATTACCTAAGTACCCCTATTTACTTTAAATATTTGGTTTATTTTGTTATGTTATTGATGTTTTCTTAAGTACTTTGTTTTGTTAAATTATTTCGCATATATAGTGGATACCGAATTGTAAATTACTCACATTTGAAAAAGAAGTTGTACTTCGAAACATGTCATGTGTAGTGTTTTTAATTTTTATTTTATTTTTTTAAATAAACGTTTTGTGAAAATCTACCAAATTGGGTTTTACTCATTCAAGATAAAATGGACTTTCATCAAGTAAAGGCCGAAACAATAAATAATGTTACAATGAACATAGTAGGCTTACTGGGGTTATAAAATTTTATGATTTCAAAAATATCCAAACCTTTCTCCATTTAATAAAAATAAGGAAAACAATTTTTTTCTTCTAATATTGAGAGTAAGTGCTATAAATATGAAATTTTTTTATGATTTTCAATCTTTTGCACTATGAATACAAATAGGTAAAGGGACTTATTTCGTATTTTAAAAAAATTGTACGTTTAATAATTCTTCTTCTATTTTTTTTTTTCCTGTCATAAACAATTTTTACAACTTTCCAAATAGAAAATTCAATTCTACCTTAGAATTTTTGGCTCGTTTTGAAAATTATTTTTCAGTTGTTAATCAGTCTTGCTCGATTCTACATCTACTGGTTTACTTTGCAGTCGTGTAATTTTCTGAATAATAATGTCGTTCTTTTTCATTTCAAAATTATATTATCTGATGACAAAAAGTGTTTATATTGTGATCATGGCGAGGCGTTAGTGAAGTGTCCGAAACTTGTTACATATTTAAAATTAAAAAATGCAACTCTTTGTCGAAACGATAACTTGACTGTGCGATTTAATTTGTTCTTTAATGAAAATACTAGTGAACAATTTTTTTGTGGAATCGTGGCGCGTAGAAAGCATATTGTTATAACGTAAAAAAACATAACAACAAACAAAATTTTGAAAATTTATTTAGGTAATTTTGTTTATTATAGTTTGAATATTCGGTAAAAAATTTAAAATTATAGCATTTTAAATTTTAAGGTATATTATGTAATTCAAGAAAATTTGAATTTTCGTCAATTTTGGATTTTAAAAAATTCATAACAATTAAAGGGTTGAAGATACGATGATGGGCGTAAGGACTTTTTTATTCGAAATATCCTAAAAAATATAAAAAAAAATTATTTCATTGTAAAAATGCATTTTTTCTGGCTTAATTAATTTTTCGTTGTTTAAACAATAACATTAACAAATATCGAGTGTCATCTTACACTTTTATAATTAGGCAAGCCTTCCGGATATTAAAAAAATAAATTACGAATTAAAACAATTTTGCAAACGAATGCGCCAGTATGCTCTGGTCTAATAATTTACCTTGATGTATGTTCAACTTACTAGCCAAATAAGTATTTACATTAACTTTTTGGGCCTAAGAGTTTTTACAACTGGTTATTATCTGGCATACTCATTTTTTCTTTAAGAAAAAATAAATAAAACAACAATTGGGCCTGTGTTGCTTTTACCAGAATTAGAAAGACATGTGTTATATTTACCAGAAACAGAGCAGTCGAACGTGTTGGAATTCACTTGTTTTTATGTTTTACTTTAGCATTATTCACTTGTACACAAAACTTTGTGTTTTCTTCCTTTTAGGCCAATTGGTTAGCCCCGTATCATTATAGTTAACTATATTTATTTTGAATAATGACGATGTGTTAACAACGTATCAACGAAATTAATGGAGAACGAAATACGCTATGCAGATTATAACGTTTTAATCCTGAAAAAAATAGCACATGTATCGAATAAATACTTTCCTATCTGTGTACAGATATAAGGAAAGTATATGAATCATGAGTTTTTCGACCTCGAGTGTGTGTGTGTGTGTGTGTGTGTGTGTGTGTGTGTGTGTGTGTGTGTGTGTGTGTGTGTGTGTGTGTGTGTGTGTGTGTGTGTGTGTGTGTGTGTGTGTGTGTGTGTGTGTGTGTGTGTGTGTGTGTGTGTGTGTGTGTGTGTGTGTGTGTGTGTGTGTGTGTGTGTGTGTGTGTGTGTGTGTGTGTGTGTGTGTGTGTGTGTGTGTGTGTGTGTGTGTGTGTGTGTGTGTGTGTGTGTGTGTGTGTGTGTGTGTGTGTGTGTGTGTGTGTGTGTGTGTGTGTGTGTGTGTGTGTGTGTGTGTGTGTGTGTGTGTGTGTGTGTGTGTGTGTGTGTGTGTGTGTGTGTGTGTGTGTGTGTGTGTGTGTGTGTGTGTGTGTGTGTGTGTGTGTGTGTGTGTGTGTGTGTGTGTGTGTGTGTGTGTGTGTGTGTGTGTGTGTGTGTGTGTGTGTGTGTGTGTGTGTGTGTGTGTGTGTGTGTGTGTGTGTGTGTGTGTGTGTGTGTGTCCACCATAACTCATAAACCGATACACAGAAAAATACCAAATTTTAAACTTAAGCTTTATTCCAGCGTTTAATAAACTGATTAGATTTTGGGCAGAGTCGGAAGATCTGGAGGGTATTTTATAGGTGGTCATTTTTATACTTTAAAAAATATATCTGTTATTTACGTTTGGAGAAGAAAATTCTTTAAATAAAAGTTACTTCTAATAATATTATCTATAATTTTTGTTTTATACAAATTTTTTTTTAAAATGGTTCATATTCGAGAAATTTGACAAAATGTAAAAAAAAATATTTTTTTATAAAAATTAATCATATAAAAGTTGTTTGTAATATAATTCTGTATAAAGAAAAAAAACATTAAATTTTAAACTTAAGTTTTATTTCGGCCTGAAGTAAAAAGATAAGATTTTGGACAAAGTCGGAACATCTGGGGGGATACTTTATTTGAGGCCGTTTTTATATTTTATGGAATATATCTGTTATTTATGTGTAGAGAAGAAAATTTTTCAAATAAAAGTTACTTCTTATATTATTATCTATAATTTTTGCCTTATGTCAAAATTTCCTGTAATGGTCCGTATTCGAAAATTTAACAATATGTGCAAAATTCTGATTTTTATTCTAGTTTGTGTCTGTGTAATATTATGTATTGTGATGAGACTGATCTTATAAAATAAACATTTAAAACATTTTAGTTCTCATTTTATTTGCCAATAAAAGGTATTTAAAAAATATATTTTTTATTTGACATCCTTGACAAATTGTGAAAATGATTAAACTTACAATAAAAACTAAAAAATGGTAGGTAAAGTTTCATATTAAATTTTTTACAAAAAAATCAATGTCAACCTTTCTACATAACCTGACATATATTTAAAAATAATCTCAAATTATGAAGAAAAGTCAGTTTTCTAACTAATGATGTTTATAGATGGTTTTCAACGTATTATAAACAAAACAAATATTACACTAACTAAAATATTCATTTATTAATATCGATCTCTATAATTTTTGTATTTGGAAAATGTATATATTTAGTTTATTATCCTCTAAAAATTTATAGAGGTGCTGCAATAGGTTGTACAAAATAACCGAAAAAAGCCTTTAATAACTAGATAGGAAAGTCATGTGTTGGACACATCAGATTTTTAATTAAAACAATTTGCACATATGTTATTTTTTCCGAATCGACTATAATTTAGAGCGCAATAATTAGGCACAAGAGTGATTTTTACAAAAACTGCTTAGAACATCAAACAGTTTGTAAAAATACTCTACTAACATTTCGAATTTGACAATTTTGTACTTGCTTTCTTTGAAATCAACAAACACATCAATTTGTGTAGATACCTGCTCGATGCTACTATCCCATATTCTAAGTTGTAAAAGCATCACTTACCATTTACATACAGTAGATCACGATTTCCTTGTCTGGACAGAATTTACTTTAAAAAGTTTAGAGTTAAAGCTGTGCTACTAAACTTGCCATATTTCGAAGATCAAACTGTGAGTTATTGGGTAGGGGTTTGTGCTCAGAGTTTGATATAGCTATTATGACTAATTTGTCTACTCTCTCATTTCTTTCGATTCCTGTATGTAGCGGAGATTATGTTCGTATGGTTTTTGATGGATTTTTGTAACTAATTTTCTTATTAAGAGCTAAGGTATATATATTTTAATGCTAAAAGTGCACTTAATGAATCTGTTACAACTAGATAGAATTGTGGCTTCCTTTCTGTGGGAAATAAAAGATACTTTTAAAGGACAAATAAGTCAGCAGAGAATATGGTTGTATCGCTTGTAGTCTAAATAAAAATATCCCTAGCTATAGTTGTAAATGTCACATCTACCATTGTGTCTATCTTATAGGCAAAATTCTAAATGACAATTTTGCAGTAACAAAAGAATTGTAGGTGATTTTGGAATATTTTTTGAGAAATGTGAAACTTAAGTTTTCTTGAAGATGTTTAAGCTAGTGTTACACAATGAGAAAATAATATTTGTTTGTTACTAATTTGAAGGGTATTATAGATGTTAGGAAAGGTACAACCAAGATTAAAGGTATGTTTTTGTCTTGTTGATAACACATATATGTACTAAATTCTTAAAGTTTACTGATATTTAAAGGGAATGTATTCTTGTTTTAAACTTAGAAGAGTTTTGTTTGGTTCACAAGTAATCTTAGAATTCTACTAGTGCGGAAAAAGAACTTTTAATAATATTGTTCCTTTAACAGAATCGTACATAACTTTGATCTAATGAGCAAAACATCAAAATTTGATAGCAGGCTATCCAAAAATTACAACACCAATTTTTATGAGGTAAAGTCCAGATATTTACTACGAAGTGCATTTGTATGTAACTTTCATGACAAACTCCTCTCGAAAGAAATCTAAGAAACTAGTTCTCTCGACACATTTCATAAATTAATTGTAGAGGATTAAATGTATAGCATTATCAGCCTTCGTTCAGGAAATCGCCGTTTTTTAGGGGAAACATTTGAGTCAGTATTTTCAGACCAATTTACCCAATTAGTTTTGCACAATATTTTGTATCAGTTAAATATTTTTCCCTTCATGAAGACTACCATGTTATCTGCCTAAAGTCTATCATTTACATAAGAATTCAAGATTTTGTAGATAGCTGATAGAAATGGGATTTGACTTAATAGGAATCCGTGGGAACTTTATTTTCTCGAATTTTTGAATTGGCTGTTTTACTTACGGACTACATTCATGCAATTAAAAGGTTCTAAAAATAAACTTACTTCCAGTAATACCGAATAATTCTTGGCAAGCCCATACAACCGTGTAGCTAGTATAATCGGTACTAACGACCCAATAAGGAGAACGTACCGCAACTGAAAAAAAAAAAGAAATAATAAAAACTGCTTGTACCAAATAACAGGCATATTTAGCCATATGATTATAACAGCTAAAGTTTTGTACTAACATGGCACATTGAATGTTACTTCCAATTTTGCTTCACCATTTGTTGAATTAAGTTTGGCACTTCCTTCAATAGATGACGTACGAGCACCACTAGAATAAAAAAAAGTATTTGAGATAATATAAATACCACAAAAATCCATAATTCAAAAGTAGTAATGGTTAACAAAAGAGCGTAAAGACACGTTATTGCTATTAAAGGGAATTCTATAAATAATTATACTTTGAATGTACTTACACAATCATTTTATTGAAAACTCTGACGGTACCATCATCTTTTAATGAGTACTCAGCAGTAATGCATCTGCCGCCTATTTCGAAAATTACTGGATACTTCTCTTGTTCATACCATTTTCCTAAATACTAAAACAGAAATATAGGAATATTAATTATATTTGGATTTGTTTATTATATGTCAGATAGAAGATATAATGGAACAAAAGTAATTTATAATAACACTGGATCTAGCTCTTACGATGCTATGGATAAATATTATTAGGTAATTAGTAGGGGATAGTCCAAGTTTTCTGTAGAAATATTTTGTTAGTGATAACAATTTTGCATAAAAACTCCAGTGGATCAAAAATTGACGTACATTAATTATTTTATATAAATAAAAATTTCTTGGTTTTCTATAATTTAGGCACAAGCACTGCATATGTTTCGAAACATTTTCCCATCTCCTGGTGCGGTCAAAATTTAATAAAACATGGGAAACGACTACAAACAGTTTAAAATTTTTAAAATAACCTTATCTTTCTGTTTCACGCTGTGAAACCCATGTCCCTCACATTTTATTAAATTTTGACTGCACCAGAAATGTTCCGAAACATCTGTAGTACAGTCTTGCCTAAGGTTTTCCTAAAAGTCGTTCAACAATTTCTTTATTATTTCCAAAATTTTCTAAAACAACATTTTCTTCTTCCTCCATAAATTTTGCTTAAATTATAGAAAATAAAAACACTATGACCGAATAAACCCAAGAAATTTTTATTTATATAAAATTCTACTACAGTCAGGATATTATCCTTTTTCAAATTAATTTTCTCTCTTTTTGTGAGATTTTTTTGCCTGTTAATATATCTTTATCTACTTTTCTCGTAAACCTAAAGCTTTTTCGGTTTTATTTTGTAAAAATTATTCAATATTTTTCATTGATTGCGCTCCAGAATCTAATTTGAACCATTTTAAGATTTGAAAATAAAATTAGATATTTCGAATCCTCCTCTTAAATTCTTCTGTACTTTAACTTTCTAAGTAGTCGTCAACGTAATGCTATTTAAGGATGACTCTGCTGTCTCTCAAAATATTATATTACGTAACAAGTGTGGAAATAATATATTACGCACGGGTAAAGTTTGGCACGAGCCACGTATCATAGACTGTATTAATACACTTCCCAACGAGTTATGCTCACTATTTTTTATATTACCCCAAAATTTTTATTCTTCATAAATTTGTAATTTTATTAAATAAAGATTATTTTATAATTTTTATAAAATAACATAAACCAGCAAAATAAAAAAAAAAATGTTAGTACAGGAAATCAAGAACTGATTTAAGATATATGGAATGTGCTGATTCTAAAACTGCCAGTTCATTTTTCTATCAGCTCTAGTTTTTAAGATAATAATTGAATTTATTTCTATTAAAAGACAAAAATAAATATCTCTTTAAAGTTCGAAATAGAAATTATTACTTAAAATTAGAATCTAATTAGCCAAATATATATCTGGAATTGTCCGTGAATCAACCTTCCTATACTTGGTTAACTGGCTTTACTTAATCGTATACTAAGTGTAAGGGGTTAAAGAAAAGGTCCTTTATTTCTCACAAGTCAATTTAATTGGCGACCGGTTTCGAAGCTGCCACTTCATCATCAGGCACACCTAAATGGAATGTCAAGGAGTCAATTGTAATAAAAAACAATTATAAAAGCATGAACGGACTTTAACATATACAAAATAACAGAAAAAACACAAAAGAAAGTTAAACAATAACCTTGACTCACCTTGACTATTTCCATAAAGGAAGCGCTACATAAAGTTTAACAAAACGAGTTAAAAAAGTCATATGTCAATAGTATTTTTTTAAAATTTTAGGTTAGGTTAAACCGCGAGATGTCTGTTTGAATAAATTAATTAAAACACATGTAAGACAATTATTAACTAAACAACACAAAATAGTTTTTACAAGCACAAACAGTTTAAAAATTTTTAAGGATATAACGTCAATTAATGAAAGTAAAAAGTAAAAAAGTAAAAGTAAAAATTATCAGACTCTCAAGACATCTATCTAGATTTTCAACGAATTAATGTAGTAAACTGTAAATTTTAAATTTAGCGGATAAATAGTGTACTAACAAAGGTGTTATTTACTGAAAGTGAGTATAGGTGGCGGTGACAAAATTTATTGAAAGTAAAAATATTAAACTGGGAAATGAGAAAGCAAAAAATACTAACAAGAAAATTAGAACACTAAACAAGAAAATATGAAAATTCATATGTAAAAGGAAAATTTGAAGCAGATAATCAAAAGAAAAATTACTGTTACAGGAAACGGAAACTAAGTTGACAAGTACGAATGTAAAAAAGAAAAGTCAAATTTTGGCGTATAACAACCACGTGGGAGAATTTGAATAAACTAATAAAGAAAATATTTAATAAGATGCGAGTGGGCAAAAATTAATGAAAACAGAAAAAAAAATCTAAATTGGGAGAGTTAATTAATTTGTGGTAAGTAACTGATTGAAAATCAAATGAGTGGGGGTATAAGTCTGAAATTAATTTAAATAAGCGCAGAGAACGTTGGGGTACTAATAAATTGAATTTGTGCATTCAGAGAGCAGGAGGGGCCAGATTTAATATTTTTTAAAATTTCTAGGTTCTCAAAGTTATTCAGAAGGAATTTATTAGAACTCATATGCAAAATGTCGAAGCCAATGCTAGAATCAAAATAGTGACCAGTGTCTAACAAATGAGCAGCAAAGTGAGAAAAACCAGTAGTGTTAGTGTTAAGACAGCGTGTGTGCTCTTTCAGGCGTATTTTAAAATTACGAAAGGTCCTTCCCACATATGAGCATGGACAGTTCAAACAAGTTAGTTTGTAAACACCAGACTGATCCATAGGATAAATCTTATCCTTATTCCTAACAAATAGGCTACTGATAGAGTTGGACGTTCTAAAGCTAATTCTGAAGGAATCTTTGAACAAGTTGGCTATACGATATGAGAATTTTCCAATAAAAGTAAGTGAAACATACTTACGATTATCTGCTTCAATATTGGGAAGGGGGTCAATTATGTAACTATTGTTCTGATTACGTTTATTCTGTTTTCTATGAAGAATTTTATCTATTAAGTTCTGATCATAATTGTGACTATTAGTAATTTGTTTGATAACATTGAGTTCTTTATTAAAGTTATCTACTGATAGAGGTACTTTCTGAAGACGTTCCAAGTAACAATTAAAAGCTGCTAACTTTTGTGTAACTGGGTGATTGGATAAATTATCAATAACAACCCCTGTGTGAGTAGGTTTTCTAAATATGTTAAATTCCAACTTAAGATATGTACCATGGGATATAGTTAAATCAAGGAAGTTGATAGATTTGTTGTTTTCTATCTCTAATGTAAATTTGATGTTACTATGTATGGTGTTTATATAATTTTTTGCATGACAAGACATGTTATATCCATTAGATGTTTTTTTTACCCAAAATACGGCTACTATTGACTTAATAAATGTGAAGATAATTTAAAAATAAGGGTACATTTCTTAGAGAACTTAGTGGATTTTACCTGTATATATAGCGGAAAAAATCCAGTAAAGTATGTAAATAAGTCAAAAATTAAAAAATCTGAGTTAGTTTGTTTTGCTTATAGGTCGACGATATATCCGCGTCACGAGGAGTTCGACCATTAGTCCATTTAAAATAACGGTAAAAGGTCGAGAAACGCCGCAATTGACGAGACCACATGTTCCCTACGTATTTTGGGGCGCTTATTACGAAAATCAGGGTTAAGACTGGCAGCAATGGTTGGAACACCCCTAAAATTGAAAAAAATTTCGACTGTACTTGTTGTTTTGCAAACTAAGCCATCTCATGTTTTTTGAGTCGCTGATTTCGAAAATCGAGGTATCGAGACTGGAAAATTTGTGAGACACCCCCCACATGCCAGAAACACCCCTCACAAGGGATGAATATTCGGAAAAAATGACCAGACCTTATTTAGGGGTGTTTCTTAGAATTGCTAAATTATTATTTCCGTTCTAATTTTATTACTACATTTGTTTCAAAAGAAAATTATATTTATTTAATTTATGGTAGATATTGAGATATTGTTTTCAAAAATAAACAAAATGGGAATCAATCCAAAAGTATTTTTAATACTTTAAAACTCTTTAATAATCTAACAATTTACATCCATGATCACAATAATTGAATAACACATGGTCGGAGAACTATAAACAGTAGCCCGCTTCAGGGATCAATAGTTAGTCCATTAGTATTTAACTTATACTGGGTGTTCAAATTAAATGTTGCAGTTAAATTCCGCCGAAAATATGCATTTTATAAAAAAAGGTTTATAGTTTTTTGAGGGAAACATTTTGGCGCAATTAATTTTTTTATAACTGACCATAATATGGCCGTATCGACTTGAACGTTTTTATTTCAAATTGAAATACAATTTTTTTTAGATATTCTTAAAGTTGATAAAAAAATAAGAAACTTTTAAAATAAACATTTTTTTATTGGACATTTACTTATCGAGTAACACCTACTAGAAAATTTTGCAGCGCGAAAAAAAGTTGACCATATCATGGTTAGCTATAAAAAAGATTTTAGCCAAAATGTTTTTCCAAAAAAAAATATAAAACTTTCGTCTGAAACGTTTTTTTTTTTTATAAAAGGCGATATTTAGCTGTAACACTTTAATTTGAATACCCAGTATACTGCTAACTTATCCATTTTAGACACAAATATTAAATTTATACAATACGCTGATGACATTTGCTTTTAGATCTCCCATAGTTTGAATTTTGGTCTTGCATCGACAAAAATCGGAGTTTTTGGTTTCCAAGATAGTGGCTTCTGCTCACACGAGCACAATAAAGATAATCTATTAGTCATATTCCATTAATGAATAGTTCAGATACCTTAAAATAGTTTTAGATAAAAAGTTACTTTAGGCAGAGTATATAAAATGATAACTAGGAAGCTACAAAAAAGGTATGGACACTTTTTAATTATAGATAATAGTTCAGTCATTTGGTAGTTATACCAGGAAAGTTTTTTGGGAGTTTTGGAAATGAGTAATTTTGTAGATTTCGATGTAGTCTTTCCGAATTTCAACTTTGCC